GGGGGAAGCGTTCAACCAGAATCGGCGATACATCACTGATGGAGCGGCGATGGGCCCCCGATAGCACACGCGCTCGTTCCCAGGCGGGGTGGGCTGTCGGGCTCTGATCGGCGATGAGCATGCGATTGGGGGCCGATGCGTCCCCCCCATCGAGCCCCCCTCCGCACGTTGCCCCTGATGTGGCCTCGAAATCCTCCGCCAACCATCGCCACGCGGTATCGCTCCACAGCGCCGCACAACCGCTGCCCCCGCCGCTGGGCGCTGGTAGCCGCGCCCGCGCCTCGGACGTGAGGAAGCAGAGCGCTATTCGTGGAGTGCCCCCGGCCCGCGCCCGCTCCACAGGCCCGCCGTGGCCTCCCAGAGTGGAGCCCATGGCATACCGAGGGCTGCTCCCCCCCGCGCCCCTCCGAGGCAACAGTTTCCCCGAGCCCAGGCAGCCTGAGCGAAAACTGCTGCGGACGGAATTCTGCGTCGGGCCCTGCTCCTGCCCCCGGCCGTGCAAGAGAGGGCAGCCGTCCTTCTTTCCCTCCGCTCCGCTTGGCGCCACCACCTGGCCGGGGCGCGCGCCCGGCCGGGCCCTCCCGGCGCGGGCCCTCATAGGCCGGCGAGCTGTGCCCGCACGTTGCCCTGCCCCGCTACTTCCGAGGCAGCCAACTGGTGCGGGGGGGGGAAGCTGCATCCGTCGCGCGCCTCCGGAGCTGAGCTTCAGGGGGCCGCTGCGCAGCCCATCCACGGAGAGGCCGAACCAGGAGCGAACGGGGCCTCCTGGCCACGGCGCGCCTCGGCCACGAAGAAGCTCCCCGACCCAGATCCAAGGAACAGCCCGAAAACCAGGGCCCAACTCGACGGCGCGCTGCATCAGCGGGCCGCGGGCCGAAGGGGGCGGGGCGGCCACTGGGCCGAAATCGCTGCAGAGACCGCGGGGGGGAGCCGCAGAGAATAAGAGGGAGCAGAAGGAGGAGGAGGAGGAGGAGGAGGAGGAGGAGGAGGAGGAGGAGGAGGAGGAGGAGGAGGGGGAGGGGAGGAGGAGGAGGAGGAAGAGGAGGAGGAGGAGGCGGAGGCGGAGGAGGAAGATGAGGAGGAGGAGGAGGAAGAAGAGGAAGAGGAGCAGCAGGATGTCTTGCCGGCGGCTTGCAGGATCTAAACGAAGGAATGGAGATGAAGAGGGGGAGCAAGAGGTGGCGGCGGAGTGCGTCGCGTCTTCGGACTCCGGGATCCTGGCAAGCGGGTGAGAGAACGATGTGGGAGGAGGAGCAGCAGGGGCACCCACTGTGTATATATATATACATATATATATATATAGATATAGAGAGAGGGATATATATATATATATAGCGAGAGAGAGGGAGAGAAAGAGAGAGAGAGAGAGGGAGACGGAACAAGAGAGAGATAGAGAAAGAGAGAGAGAGAGCCCATGCAGGGGCACCGCCTGTGCCATATGAGAAGAGGATAGGGGGAGGAGGGGGGGAGGGAGATGCAGGGGGGAAGGGAGCAGGAGCAGAAGCATTAGCAGGAGCAGGAGGACGAGAAGGAGGACGATCAGAGCAACGGCGGCGGCGGCGACGCCGACAGACGACCCTCGGGGCAGAGCGCTGCTGAGACTGCCGCGAGCCAAGAAGGGTCCCGAGAGAAACGGGTCCTGGTCGCCTGGGGCCTCCCACGGAGTCGTTGCTCATCTCCCGTCGCTCTTTTGACTGTCCCCAGGCCCACGGGCCAGAAAGGTGTCCTGAGGGAAGCGGGTCCTGGACGACCCAGGCCTTCCAAGGAATCGTTGTTCATCCATCCCCCAGAGCCCCCTCTCCCAAACACTCCGGCGTCGTGATTTTTGCCACAGCTTGGGCCCCCAGAGGTCTGGACCGTTTCACTGGCACAAATTTTTCGTTCCGAGTCGCTTTTAGACGGTCCCGCGACCCGGTAAAGGCCCTCCAGGAAGAGAAAATTGGCAACTTTCCGTTCGCGACGAGAAGAGGCGGGGGTCGCAGGACCCTCTCTGGCCCAGAGGCGAGAGGAGGCCTCTGGAGGTCTCCACGAGGCCTCCAGGAAGCGTCCTCGGATGCCCTCCAAGGTAAAGGCCTCCAGGAGGCGTCCAAAACGCCCATGGGGGGCAGCGTTACAGGGGAACCAAAGCATGGGGGAAAACATCCACCTGGAAGCAGCGAGGCATCGCCGATAGATCGGCGACAGCACGGTCTGGCCAGGGCGGGGCTAGCAGGCTCGTGTCGGCGATCAATTGGCGATTAGGGGTTGATGCAGTCCCCCCTGAACCTATCCCCTCCTGACGTTGCCTGTCGTTTTCGCGTCATAACTCTGCTCTCTGGTGGCCGTCCAGGACGAGCCAGGCGCCCCCAGAACGCCGTCGGCGAGGTCTGGCTGCTGGAGATCACTCCGAGGCTGAAAGACCGCCGAGATCTGGCGAAAACGCTAGAAAACTTAGAACCTCGAAATTATCCACCGCTAGCGTTGCCCCTTGGCGATCTTCGCTTCGCGGCGTCCACGGAGCGCCACTTTTCAGGGGACGCAGATGCGGCCAGGTGCCGCTCGCAGCTCTGGGCAAGGCCGCGCGGCGCTCGCGGGGAGGGGTGGAGGAGCAGGAGGTCAAGACGAGGTAAAAACCGATGTTAGCCAAATGTCGGCGGCAGGCTTGGAGAGAGGCTGCGGGTACGTAGGGAATTCTTACTGGCGGCTACCACTGGAGGGGCGGCCACCACTGGCCGCCAGCGGGACGGCAGGAGCAGGAGGAGGAGGACCAGACAGACGCTACGATCTCAGCTGATCCAAGTTTGCCCAATGTCAAAAAGGAGGACCAGAATAAACCAAAAACACATCAGCGATGCTGCAACCCAACCTCCTGCCCCAAGTCCCCTCCTCACGCGCCCCTGCAAGTCCTCCTGTAAACTGCAACAACCACACCCGTTGATATACAAACACATCTTGGCATGCCATTGTGGCGGGAGCCCCGCTTTGACAACGACTTGTCTTGCATCTCTCTGGCGCGCAGTCAGGAACGCGACACACACAATGATCATACAACTCAACGGGCGTCCAACGAGACCCACCTCCGAATAAGGACAGCCCCCCATAACCCGTGAAAGCGTTGCACGCCTGAAACCGTGCGATCGTTAACGTAGAGTAGCATATCAAACGACACATTCACTGCTGTTAAAAAATCATGGATATGTGCCGTGCTACGTGCGTTGGCAAGTTTCAAGCGAGAACTCCATCTTGAAAAGGGGCAGCCTTCCATCCTGCTAAACGTTGCATTCAAAACGATTGCGCGCGGCGCTGAAGCGAAAACACAACTGTTTTTAACTACTGTTCGATATTTGGACCTGCTACAAAATCTTGAAACGTAAGATCGCGACGCTTGGGCGAGAACCCTACATTGAAAAGGAACCGCCTTCCATCCGTGAAGCTAGTGCGAACGTTTGAAACAAATGCGCGCGGCGCTAAGGCGAATATCGCATGCTGAAGAACATGGCCCCACTGTCATGCCTGGGGATGCTGCGAGTTTGTAATATGAATGTGCGTGGCGCCAAGGCGAAAAACCACATCTTGAAATTTACCCTGCCCCATCAGAGAAAATCATTCCAGACTTATAGAAATAGTGCGCGCGGCGCTGAGGAGGGAGCCACACTTTGAAAAGGTACAGCCCTCCATCAATGACAGACTGCTGCAATCGTGTAAGACGAATGTGCGCGGCGCTGAGGCGAGAACCACATTTTGAGCACGACCTCCCTCCGTTGCGCGCGGCGCCAAGGCGAGACCAACACTTTGAACAAGGTAGACTCCGCACGCCCCCCGAGATTCCAGGATGTCATGCCCTGCGCCGTGCTTTGTATGCCGAAGACCCTGGGGCTTCCGTCTCTGCTCCTCCAACGCCTGCTGCCAAATGTTGAGGCAAACTGAAGCCATCCGTGCCCGCCTGGAGTCGTCCGTGCCCATCTGGGGCTATCCCGAGGCCGCCTGGACGCAGACTGACGCAGCGACCTACAAGGAGAAGTGAGCACTGTCTGTTTACCGCCACCACTTGACTTCCGCTGGGGGAACGACAATGTAACGGTACCGCTGGTGGGGTGGAGAGGGGGGCTCGCATCATGACCCGAGGCATGCGTGCGGACGAGGGGGGGGCGCCAGGGGACGTGTTGAAAGGAGAAGAGGGAGATATCCGCACACACACACAGACACAGACACAGACACAGACACAGACACAGACAAACAGACACACACACACACACACACGCACGCACGCACGCACGCACGCACGCACGCGCACGCACGCACGCACGCACGCACGCACGCACGCACGCACACACACACACACACACACCCACCCACGCACGCACGCACGCACGCACGCACGCACGCACGCACGCACGCACGCACGCACGCACGCACGCACAAACACACACACAGACACACACACACACACACACACACACACGCACGCACGCACGCACGCACGCACGCACGCACGCACGCACCAAGAACACACACACACATAATCACACACACGCACACGTTCACGCACACGCACACCACACGCACACGCACGCACACACACACACACACACACACATCCGTAGTCATTTCCCCCGTCTTGAACGCCCTCGAAGGTCCCCACCTCTCCGCCCGCTAACCCCCCCCCCCCCCCGGTTACCGTCCAGCCGACTGGTCTGCGCCCCTCCTTCCTCACCTCCAGGGCCTGCCGCGACTCTCGGCCAGTCGGCTGTGAGCGAGAGCGACCCTGGGCGAGAGTGACTTCTGTTGCGCGGCTTAATGGGGGAAGCGGGGTGGCCAACTCCAGGCGCGCAAGCCGCTGCTACCGCTTCGCGCTCCGCGGTCAGCAATCGGGGGTTATATTCGGCCTGGACCAACGGTCCCTCCAGCGAAAGGTCACTCCCACGTCTGGTCCAGGCAAGGAGGGGGACCTGGAGGCCGCCGGGCTTCGGCGGGCATCCCCCCTCGGTGGGCTGCGCCTCACGAGACTCGCCGGGGGATCTTCATCCCAGCATCTCGTTGACGCTCTGCTGCAGCGCAGTGACCTGCTTCTTGAGGCGCACGTTCTCCTCCTGAAGCAGCTCCAGGTCCCTGTTCCCGAGGGTCATCTTGTCCTGCAACTCGCGCTTCTCTGCGACGATGTCCCGCAGCTCCTTCCTCAACTGCTGCTCCTCGGCGGCGGCCTGCTCCTGGAAGGCCACGCTGTCCCTGATGGCGGCCGCGCTTTCTTCGTTCAGCTGCCTGAGCTCAGCCGTCTTGTACCCCATCTCTTTCTGCAAACTCTCCTTGTCGGCTATGGTCCGCTGCAGCATCTCCTCCGTTTCACGAATCTCGCCGGTGTAGCGCTGCTCGCGCTCAAGGAAGCCCGTAGTGGCGAGCCGCTCTCGATCCTCGCCGTCGACGCGGCCCTGCTTGTGCTTGGAGGTCTCCAACAGCAGCTTGTCGATGTGCTCCGCAATCTGCTGATAGAAGAGTTTGTCTTCAGGTAGGACCTGCAAGAAACCAGCAACCCAATATCGCAAGAAAAAGAAAGCACGTGGCTCCTCATGGCCTTAGGGCTCTGGCTACAACACGAAGACCATACATCAGCAGAAGTGTTTAACAATGCCGACGCAGCGTCTGCCCCCGAGGCGTCCGAACATGATCACGCATGCGACCAGAGAGTTGCAATATTCCCAGGCGCGCGAGAGCCTCGTCTGCCCCCCTGGTGCGCCTGGATCCTGTGATGAACCGGTAAACCCTGCGAGGCCCAAACACCCTCACGAGCCGCCGAGAGGTTTTCGAAAGACCTGAAAGGATGAAGGCGGAACCAGCGAGGCGTCAAGAGCATACGGAGGCTCCAACACCAACACGAGATGACCTCTTTGGTCAAAGGCGCTTCGCCATTCCCTGGAAATCTCAGATCTGGCAGAAACATCAACGACATGCAACGACATGCCCGCGCCCTCGTCAATACAATCATGTCCTACATGGCCTTGCGTGGCCACGCAGATTTCTGTGATTTTCGACGACGTGCCCGCTGTCTGGACAAGCGTGCAACGGTTGCCCAGGACGGGTCTACGGCCAAGGAGCTCTCCCCCAAAGGGGGGTAGCGGGAATCTATGAAAACAAAACGCGAGGGGACTTTTCGCTCCCACACACCCCTGGGCGTGCCCTTACCAAGCAAAGCGACGTAGGCTGGCGGCAGACAAGACAACCAACTCAGCCCTGGCCTGTTCCCGCTCCTTCATCATCAGCCGCAGCATCAACGAACTGCTGTCCTTCGTGGAGCATCAAGGGCATTCGGTACTGAACTCATCCAGGCAGCGCTTTTGCAGACAGTTGGAAAACTGAGTGGAGAGGTTTGTTTGAGCAATGGGGCCAAATACTTTCACACTCTGAAACAAGTGTGATGCAAATAACATCGGAAACCGAGTTTCGGGTCTCGTGCTCGCGCCGCGAGGCAATGCGCCGCGCCCACAGATCTGCGCACGAGTTGCCTGCGTGTCCCATGGATTCGCCCCTGCCGGAGACTGAAACGCCATTATTTTCATCGACCGCTGCCCCGCGCCTCCATCCCTCCCCTCCATCATGTTACTATCCCCCCTGCCCTCTTACCAACGTGATCAGACCTCCAGGTCCCTGGCCATCATTTTCCTGGACCGCTGCGTCGTCCTCCCCCAGGTCCTTTTCTCTCCTCTTCATCTCGTCCTCTCCTGCGGGGCTGCATTCTCTGGAAATCAGCATGTGCCAGATGCAATCGATCACGCACATCATTGGAACTATTCCACACGTCACGTCTTTTGATGTGTTTCTCGTCACTGGTCACAACTGGGGGCGCAGGAATACCCTTCGGGCCTGCCCCAGGACACCTCGCAGGCACCCAGGGGCCTCCAGGACCGCACCCACACAACGAGTCCTTCACAACCATTCGTCCAAGAACCCACGAGACCACAGCCCCGAAGAATCTCCATGAGCTCTCCTCTGAGAGCTTTCAAAGATCACCCCCCAAGACCCCTCTGAGAGTCAGCCCGCACGGCCATCCAATGATGCCGCCGAGATTGACCCTGGAGGTCGCCGAGACTGCCCGCGATCCCTGTCAATACCACCCCGTTGACGCGCCAGAGCTCCTGCGAAATACAAGGGGACACCCAAATATCTCAGAACGACACGGGATCCCGCAACTACCCGCAGACAGACTCTTGCCCACCAGGAAATTCCTGGCCTGAAACCGAGCGGACACGCCTGAATCGAACTGGCGTGAGCCGGTCGTTTGTTTCAATGCAAACCGAAACGAATCGGTCGTTTTCGACTCGAACCGGACCCAACCGTCTTCAATTACGATTCCAGACCGGACAGAACCTGCCCTTTCGCTGCACCTTCTCCATACGCAGCACTTCTAAAACGTTTGCAGCCCCGCGAGCTCACGTCCCCAAGCGTGGTGATCGACACGCGCAGGCAGCACGCTTGAAAAATAAGTGCAGAGGGCCCGCCATCGTGCCAACGTCATGTGGGGGCGTTTTCGAAGACTGCCCCTCATTCGTGTGGTAGAACTTCTGCGTCGCGTGTCGCGGCGGCGGCCGCGGCGACACGCTGTGCCTTGCAAGCTGACAGCGTGAGGCCCGGGAACGCCCGGGAGATTGAGGCTCCAGGACTGGCACGTGGTTGCCGTGTCGCACCGAAGCGTGGTGGGCCAGAGCAGGCTGCGCGACACGCGAACCCCCAACTCCTGACCCTGTGCACTTGTAGTAACGACCTCCCCCAACACACATCTTGTTACCCCAGTGCCCTTTCTGGCCCTCGCACAGTTGAAAGACGGCTGCAATTTTTTCCACGACCAGCCAGCCCCAAGACATCACACCCAAGACAAACAACTGGATGTCCCGAGGAGGCCCCGAGATGTCCAGAGAAGCCTCGAACAGACGCCCAAAGAGTCTTTCAGCAAGGCTCGGAACGGCCAGAAACAATGAACACCGTTTGGGGCCTGTGTTTTTTGAGGGAGACCCAAGAAGCCCCCACGACAAGCATCGATGGCCTGAGACTGGCCGAGGACCCCGCGGCTCAAAAGGGCTCCGAGGCGGCCCTCAGCCCCCCAGCCCCGTCAACGCGTCCCCCAAATGGTTCAACCGAGCCTCTTCGGAGAAGTTCGGTGGAACCATTGCGCCCAAGACGGCCCCGAGACCCCAGACGGGCTCCCAGCGGAGCCCAAACGGCCTCCCCAAGGGGGCCCGTTTGAGTCCCACAAGAAGCCCCAAAGACGCTCACAAGAAGCCATGCCTGCAGTATGCTTCCCAAAGGGGGGTCTCAGAGGCAGGCACCAGTTCCGATAGGGCACGCAAGTGGGAACCTTAGCCTCAGCCTCCTCCCCGCTTCTCTGATGCGCTGGAACGGTGGTGGGGCTTGCCGCGAACAGCAGGATGTATGCTCTGATCCAGGGCTCCGGGTCCCTCCCCCTCATGTTGATGCATTCAGGCCCCCCACCCCGCGCGATGGGCCCCCCCCCAGATGGTCGTGGCTCTGTGGGCGCGTCGTCCTCGCCGCCGCCGCCGCCGCCGGGCCCGCCGTCGTCGTCATCGTCATCATCGTTGTCGTCGTCGTCGTCGCTGTCGTCGCCGCCGCTGCCGCCGCCGTCATCGTCCCCCCCACCCCATCGGGGGGAGGGCCTGTGAACCCTGGGACCCACACCATCTGTGGAGCGGGCCCGTGAACCCTCGGCCTGGAATCACATATACCATCTCGCGCATAGCGGCAGAGAAGCGGTGCACAATATACGGCACATGAGATTCGCCCTCGACGCTGGAAGGACAACGACTGCGAAGCAAAGCGTGAAAGGCACGAGCCACGCGCGCGACCCTTCCATTCCGCCAAGCTTCTTATCGGCCAACTGCGTATCGGCCAACGGATGTGACTGTTGTGCCGCCGCCGAGTCCTTTGCGGTCCACTGCACACGCGACACGGGGCCCTTGCCGTCGCCATCCAAGGCGCTAGCGCCTGCCATGGCCAGGGATCTGGAGGTGGTGTTGGCAAGCGTGGGGCTCGCCGTGGGGCCCCCGTTGGCTATGGTCGACGTCTTGGGGTCCGCCGCCGCGGCGATGGCGCCTGGGTCGTTGGAGCTCGCCTTGTACGCGGAGGAGGCCCTGTTCCTTCTCAGCAGGAAGGCCACTTCATGCAGGGTCTCCTCGCCGACCTTGGACCCACTCAGCTGGCATTCGATCAGGGAGTTGTTCACCTTTAGGCCTTCCAACAGCGCCAGGCCGCCGTCCACGCCGAGGTCATTCCAAGAGAGGTCCATGTGCGTAATCGTTGTGTTCGCGCGGAGCAAGTCCCCGACAAGCTTCGCTCCAACGTTGTTGATACGATTGTTCCTGAGGTCCACGTGTCCAACAGTCAGATTGGACTTGAGCGAATCACATAATGAGCTGATCCCAGATGGGTCTTTCCCGATCGAGTTCCACTTCAGATTTAGGCTTCTGAGAGATCGGTTGAGCTTAACTCCGTTGGCCAGCGCCTGTGAACAGACAGAAATAGATACGTGCTCGTGTTCATGCCCATTCTCACCCTGCCCTTCTGGGAGGGAGAGTGGGAGAAGGGAAGCGCTGTGTGTGCGCGGGGTATGTTTCTGACTACCCCTCTAGCCTGAGCTCCTTTGGCCTGGATGTTGTTGCCGCGAAGGTCCAGGTGCTTCACGAAGGGGTTGTCCCGCACGAACTTGGCGACCTCGCCCATTCCATCGTCGGATATCGAGGCGTAGGCCAAGCTCAGCGTGGCCGACTCCCGGTGGGCGTCGAGGTGGTTGATGAGCGCCGGCAAGCTTTGGTAAGTGGCACCGCCACCAGCCGCCATCGCGCGTGCAAGGGTGAAGGGGCGATTGCTCGCTGGGAGAACCCGCCGCTTCGCGGCGGCCCAGGATCCCCTTGGGCACAAGCGGCCGAAGAGATGGAATAATGACAAACTCAATGACATCAGCTTTCGGAGCTCCGTGCGGAGTTCTGAAGAGTGCATGTCAATGCTTGTCTCCTTCTTCGCCATCCTCCTCGGCCCCGCACTCGCCTCCTTGGCGCGACCTTCCTCCCCTCCCCCTTGATTCTGCGTCTCGCTGTTTCCGCGCTGTGCGGCCGCTTGTGCTGATGATGCTCACGCTACTGATCCGCCGCCGTGCCCCGAGGCACGAAGATCGAGTGCCCTCGGGTACCTCATCGCCTTCTGCATTGAGTCTTGAAGTGCTTACTTGATGAGAATACCAAATCCCCCAAAAGTTCCAGGCGCTCATAGGCGCTGCCTGGGCTTGCCGCGTGTTCTCGCTAGACTCTTCCGAACGCGAGGCTGCAAGCGGCCCCCAAAAAGGATCCGAGTCGGCCAAATATTGCTCCTGGTGTGAAGATGGACCAAAGGCCTCCAAGACGCCCCGAGAGAGCTCCAAGAACACCCCCAAGAAGGCCCCCAAAGGCAAAACTTTCCGGGACAGACTTCAACCTCTCGCATACTCGGGCTTCCAACGTTCCAAGACGGCCCAAGAGGCCGCCAAGATGGCCTGGGAGGGCGCCAAGACGCCAACAGGCCCCCAAAACGGCCCAAAATGGAGAACACAATCTGATATTTCGAGCCCTCCGCCACAAGATGACCCTCGAGAACGCCAGCAGGCCCACAAGAGGCTCCCAAGAAGACCCCAGGAGGCACCCAAAAGGCACCAAATATGCCCCAAGAGACCTCCGAGAGGCCCCCCGGATTCTCAAAAACCGCCTCCCAAAGGCTTCGGAGAGGCCTTCCAAGAGATCCCCACATGCATCCAGAACATCAATAACCCTCCGACCACGACCCAGGCGTGGAGGCGGGATGAGCCGAAATCAACTAAATAATCTCCATTATCCTCACATGTTTGGCCTGTCGATGCACCACTAACACAAATTCGATGAGAGCGCATACTGGGAGAGAGCGAAGCCTCCATAGGAGGGAGAGGAGGGTGTGGTCGAACCAGCGCATTGCCCCAATTTCGCACCAACCACAGCTGTCATCAGCCAAGGACACGTATGCTGCCTCTCCTTCCTCCCTCCGACCTCCTTCCTCGGCCCTCGGCACAGTCCCTCCTCCCTCCCTCCTCCTCCTCCTCCTCCTCCTCCTCCTCCTCCTCCTCCTCCTCCTCCTCCTCCTCCTCCTCCTCCTCTCCTCCTCCTCCCTCCCTCACCCCCTCCTCCTCCCTCCCTCCCTCCCTCCTCCTCCCTCCTCCTCCTCCTCCTCCTCCTCCTCCTCCTCCTCCTCCTCCTCCTCCTCCTCCTCCTCCTCCTCCTCCTCCTCCTCCTCCTCCTCCTCCTCCTCCTCCCTCCTCCTCCCTCCTCCTCCTCATCCTCATCCTCGTCCTGTCGCCGCCTGGTGGCACGAATACCCTAATAAAGGGTGATGCCATCTCTCTCCTCCTCCTCCTCCTGCTTCTCCTCCTCCTGCTCCTCCTCTTCGTCCTCCTTTTCCTCCTCCTCCTCCTCCGTCTCCTCCGTCTCCTCCGTCTCCTACCGCTTCCCCGTCCCGATCCCCCCTGGCCCCAGATATCATTATCCTCCGGCTGCGGCGGCCGCTGCTGCTGCATATTATCCTCCTCATCCTCCTACTCCTCCTCCTCCTCCTCCTCCTCCTCTTCCTCCTCCTCCTGTTCCTCCTCCTCCTCCTCCTCATCCTCCTCCTCCTTCTCCACCTCATCCTCCTCTTCCTCCTCCGCCCCCCTTCTCTCCATGCTTCTGTGCCTTTTGCGCATTCGTTGGTCAGAGCCCGTCGAGTCTCCCCATCATCCTCCTCCTCATATTATTTATCCTCCTGCTCCCGCTCCTCTTCCTCATTCTCCTCCTCCCCCCGATTGCAGAACCGGGGAGCTTTGGTCCTTCGCTCCCCCGGAACCGCAGCGGGGTCCGGCGGCAGAACCCGCCAGGGTTCAAGAGCGAGGACGCCCTGTTTTGTCCCTCGGCATCTACGTCCGAATGCCAAAATGCTCTCAAACCGGCTCGGGCCGCGCCAGCAACAGTAGGTAGAGGGGAAAAAGGAGGGGGAAGGGCACGATAAGAGGGTGAGCGGGGGACAGGTCCACTAAGAGCCCGTCTGTTTTCACACAGATTTTTCAATTTGTTGGATCTGAGCACGCTCAACTCACAAATCTTAAAACAACTCCCGTAATACAAGGGATATGTACTAGCGCACGCATAAACACGGCGGGGATGACCCGCAAGTCTATATAACATCAACCCGCTAGCAAGCATCACCCATCAGCATCTTCACTTCAACAGCTAACACTGTCTCTCCTCACAGCAAGCTCTGTTCTTCCCTCTCACAGCATGCCTCTCGCCCGTTCGAACGCCAGGCTACGCCTCCAGAGCTCCTCGCGTGAACCTCCCGTTCTTGGCCAGCTCCTTCACGCGTGCCTCCCAGCGCTCTCGAGCCACGCGCCTCGATGTCTTCGCCATCTCGGCCCTGAACTCGATACTCCAAGCGCCGCGCTCCAGAGCCTCCCGCAGGTGGTATGCGGGCATCTCCTTGGTCAACACGTCGCTCAGCATGTTGCTTCCATCCGTCCACCTTACCATGGTCTGCGGCCTGTCCAGACTCTCGCGGATACTCGCCAACTCCAAAGTCACCGAATTCTGAGCTGAACTGCCAACATTCGCATCCGAATTGAGCCTGTCATGCCAGTCCTTGGAGTCCGTCGACACCGCCATGAGAACTTGCCAGCGGGACAGCCTCATACTTGCGCCTCTTGCCACGGGGCCATAGCTCATCTCCGCCATCTGGTCGCGTAATCCTTGGGCCACGTCCACTGCATCTCCAACGGCAACCAACTCCGCCGCGTAGGAGCTTCTCGCCGCTCTCTTCAGTTTGTGGCCCTTGCCCTCCAGCAGCGAATACCGTCCGACGCCTCCGTCCACGAGCTCCTTGTCCGCATGCAAGATCAGGTAGCCGCCCTGGGCCCCGATCTTCTCCGCCGCAGGGTCCGACTGCAGCGCCGCCGCATCCTTCATCGCGTTGCCCAACGAGCTGTCCGAAACCGCCACGAGGCCAAACCACTTGATGCCAATCGGCCGCATCACGATCTTGAACGTCGCGTCGCGCTTCAGCTCCCTCAGCACCTGGCTCGCCTCGATGAGAGCTGACACTCTCGGCCCCTTCTTGCGGCCCTTCTCGCGCTGCAGCACAGCTAGGTCGCAGGAGCAGTCCACGCGCAGCTTGGTCACGGCCCAATTGAGATTGCCGACCACCTGCTAGAACTGCTTCCACTCCATCGCGTTGATTGGCAGATGCGCCGCTGCCCGTCGGCCCCTGGGCACAATCACAGGCTCCAGTCCAGCCGCGTATTCCATCGCGTCAATGTCGATGGCGCCGTCAGGCTGTCGCTTGAAACGCCGGCCGCAAAGCGCCAAATCGTCGTGCTCTTCACTCCCAAGCCCGAACTGCTTACCCGACGCGCCCACCACCTTCGCCATCTTGTCGTTGCCCGCCCAGAGAAAGTCGCCGACGTGAGCAAAAACGCATCCCCGTAGGAAGTCAGGCCCTCGCTTCTTCGCTTTCGGGTCGCGGAATACTGAGAAGGCGGCGTCCGAACGAGAGCCCTCCAGCCCCAGCTTGCGAGCCACTGAAAGCACCGTCAGGTACCACAGCCTCGGCGCCGATGGGAGTCCGAACGCGCCCTTCCGAACTCTCGCAAGCAGACCTCGTTGGAAACCAGCGAGTGCGGGTCATGCAGCGAGGCGCGCATCACCAGGCCACGCTCCTCCACCACGCCATTCAGGAAAGCGCCGCTCGCATCCTTGGATCCGAACTTCAATCCCGGATGCGACGCCACCGCTTGCGTCAAATCTATCTCTGACTGCGCCGTGGCGCAGGGGGCCTTCACCCGCGCGTTCGACTCGTCGTCAGTTCTGCCCGGGGTCGCCGCTGTTGACCACGAGCCTGGCGTTCACCTTCAGCGGCAAGTCGTTCGCCTCCGTTCTCAGCGGGTGATCCTTGTCCGTCAGCGCCCGCCGACTGCTCGTGATGTAGTCGCCCTTGCCCTCGCGCTTCATCGACTCCTCGAGCGCGGCGGACTCCTTCTCCAGCAGCACCTCCACGGATTCGCTGTCCATCCACTTCGCCCGCTGCGACGCTGCTGCTTCCTCGCAGTTCGCCTTCGTCGGCGGCCCATCCGACTCCAGACCTTCTCCTTCCGGGCCTGCCCCTGCACGGGCATCGCCTCGAACTTGGGGTCGTTCGCCGGCGCCGTCTCCAAATGGTCCAGAAATCGCCGTCGCTCCGTCTCAGGAGCGCTTTCGAGCCATGCCACGGCTCTCTTCGCCACACTCTTGACCCGCAGCGCCTGGTCGGGATCTTTAGGTTTTTGATGCCCGTCGCGTCCGCCACGAGATGGTGCCTGTGGCAGCTCGGCCCCCTCCGCGTCGCGCCTTCGCCCTTGCTGGGGCGCCTCCTTCGCTTGCTGCGGAGATGCCGCCACCAGCTTCTGAGCTACCTCAACCTCCTCGAGGGGGGGCGTGCTCGGCGCGAAACTGCCGCAGGGCCCGAATTGGCCCTCGGGGATGACGTTCGCCACCGCCGCAGGTCGAGCTGTCGAAGTCCCGGGTCGCTCTCTCACTTCGCTCGCGCGCTTCGGGGTGATCTTAGCGACGCGCAGCGCCTTGGACTTTCCTGGGCCCTCGCCTTGGTCTCGTAGCCGCTGCGCAACCTCCAGCAAGAAGTCGGTCTCCCCGCTCTGCCGAGGATTTGTCCTCCTTGAAAACTCAGGGCTCGAGATCGGGCCGATCTCGCCGTCGCCCGCAGCACTGGCCACAGCAGTGGTCATGCCTGCCGCGGTCACCTCGGTCGATTGGCCCTGTATCTCCTCCAGGTCCACGTGACCCCCCACAGCTTCCTCTGCCCGAGAAGGCTGAGCGCTCGCCACTGGCGCCTCGGGTTCACCGTCATCAGCCTGGTCAAATTGGCCCTCTTCCTCGCGTGCCTTGCTCGCGTCCTCCATGTCGAGCTCCTCGTCGATCTGCGTGTCCGGCAGCGCCTTCTCCATAATATCCAACTGCTCCCTGGCGCCGATGCCCAGCGGCTCACCGATGGCGCGCAGCTGAAGCCACAGCCTGAGACGATTGCTAAGCCAGCGGAGCTGCGAAGCCAGGCGGGACGCCATAGAGACGCCGTCCACGGAGGCCTGGTCAGGCGGCAGAACGCTGACCCAGCGAAGCTGCGCCTGACGTCCACGGCTGCCACGGTGCCCGAGACTGCACTGGCGCGCGCCTTCGAGCCCCTTTTCAGCCGCGTTGGCCTACGCTTTGTAGAGGCATCGAGGTTATATTGGGTCTGATCAAAGTTACCGATCTCGCCCGTAGCATAGACTCGGGGCGCCAGTCTGCCGGCAAATTCCCACTCGCGGGGGTTTCGGGGCATGGTCCACGAGGGCGCCGGGTCGGAAGGGGGGGAGGTCGACGAATGGCGAGAGCCTTGAGGGAGGCCAACGAGGGGTGGAGAGAAAGGGGGGCGGGGTCGTGGGTCGCCAACTCCGAATCGATAACTATCTTCACGCTCTGGATGGCTATCGCAAGGCGGGATCAACACAGTAAATAGTCGTGCATCTTCGCGCCCCCTGTTCTGCGACACGGTGGGGTGCGCCATGTCGGCCCCTAGTCGCTCGGGAAGGGCCGAGACTGCAATCGCCAACGGTTCGATGTTGAAGTCCGCCCCGGCAACGAACGGGGCCGCCAAGCTCTTGGCGCGCGCCGCCAACGCTGCCCGAATCTCCTGATCGATGGGGTTAGGCCGACGCAATCCCGCAGGTATGCACTGGCGCAAAAAAATGAAGCTAGACCTTGGAGGTGGATCAATGCACCAACAGCCCGATGCTTTTTTTTTTCACTCGTGATACCAACATCTGGGTGGTGCACCCCATGGAAGGTTCGGACCGGGCGTCCTGGGCCCTTCGCGCCTAGTCCGAGCTCCTCGTTTCACGCCAGCTTGCGTTCCTGGACAGGCACAGTGTGCGCCGAAATGATCGCCAAAAACTCGTGATAGACGACCAAGATGTGCCATTAGCCGTCGCTCTCTCCAATGCAATCGACTCCGCTTTCTCCAAATATCCTTGGCCCCGAGGTTCAAGCGCAGACGAGCCCCGTGGGGCGTCCAAAACTGGCCAGAAGGTCGGAAGTCTAGGGCGGGGTGACGGAGACTGGCTGGCAGAATCGTGGCTAGGATGACGGCCCACTATTGGCGGGCGGGCCTGCTGCCGGCGCTGCATCCGACGTCTTGGGAGACGCCGCCGCCCGCGACACTGCCGCACGAGCCTGCTCGCGAACGCCCGCAAGCGGCCGTGCAGGAGTCGCTGGCTGAGCTGGCGGCGCCTCGCCCACAGGCACTGGGGCCGACGATGCAGAGCCAGGCGTGGGCTCAGAAGAACGGGGTCGAACAGGTTCAGCAGCTGCATCACCAGATTCCACTTCGCGATTCTTCTCCGCCAATCTCAGCTTCTGCTCCTGGTGGCTCTGCTTGAGCGCGCTGCACTTGGTCTGGGCTTCGCCGGACAACTTCGTCGTGAGCGACGAGATCTGCTCGGACAACTGCTGCTTGCGGTTCTCGGCTTCCTTGACGTCCTCGGCGGGGAGCTCCTGGAACTCGCCGAAGCCGAACATGTCGCCGTTCGTCCACTAGGATGGACGTGAGCTTGCCGTCCAGAGTGTCCTGCAAGCGGAGCGTCGGCTGTGATGAATGTGCCGCTGCGTCCGCTCGGGCCTGCCTGGACACTGACACATGAAGCTCCGAGATCGCCACCTTAAATTCTGCACCATACAGGTCCCATTCTTGAAGCGCGTTGTCGAGGTCAGTGCGCTGCTGGGCCAGCTTGATCTCGAGTGCACGCACGCTCTCCAACTCACGGTCAAGTTTCTTCTCGAGCCTCTGGATATCCTTGAAGGCGGCGTCAGCCCTCGCCTGCGAAGGCAGCGGGGCTGCCTCGAGCTCGGCAACCTTCGCCTGGGCCATGGAGAGCAACGACGCGTCTCCGACCTTGGCACCGGACTCCACCAACTGCTTGAGCTCGCTCTTGGTCGCAGTCGCTGCTGACTGCGTCTGCGGCCGCACGGCGTACGTCCACGGCGCCTCCTTGTCCAGAAAGGGCTCCTCCATCATCAGGCACGTCTGGTACAGGTTCTTTCCAGCGCTTTCCGCAGTGCTTGCACCACTTGAGGCTGAAAGCGTTCTTCTTGCATCGGCAGTGGCCACATGACCACCGCGAGTTGGACTGCACGTCGCGAGGCTTGTCACCAGGAGCCATCGAAGCGCCCCCGTGTGCGTGGGATGAGGGGAACTGCGAGCCGCTCTGGCTCGCGAACACCCAGCCGTTCTGAAAATCGGTGATCGCATACACAAATTGTTTGTGCCAGAACGACTTGAACCAAAATGCCTTGAGCCAAAATTCCTACGGAGGAAGATGGATGGAGGAGGAACGGGGGAGTGGAGGAGGAGGAATGGAAGATCGCACGCCGCTGGAGGGCAAGGGAGGGAGAGAGGAGGGATGGAGCAGGGATGGAGGAGGCGGGATGGAGGAGGGATGGAGGAGGAGGAGGAGGAGGAGGAGGAGGAGGAGGAGGAGGAGGAGAAGGCGGAGGAGGAGGAGGAGGAGGAGAAGGAGGCGCGCGTGCGATGGGTCTACGAAAGATATGGCGCGCCTCGAGAGGAGCGGGCGCGGCAGCGCGCGGTGGGCGGCGCGCGGCGGTTGGAGCCGGTCGAGCGCGACCCCAGCGATGCCGGCCTGGTAGAGCTCGTTCTCGAAGAGCTCCTCGCCAGACTCGTGTGATGATCAGCCAAAATGTGAGGAATGAAAAAACGGCTCTACCCTGGGTTACAACTGCGTGGTTTGTAAACCTCCTCGGAACCCCCCAAGCCTGGAGCCGCCAGGACGCGGCACATCACGCAGGGTTTACCCTGTCAGTCCACAGGGGTTTTAGCGCACAGCGCCTCGTAAAGCAGGGCAGGGGCGTTTTTTATGCCCTTGAAACTTGTCCCCTCCCCACTGTACCACTGTCCCACCACCGTCCTAACCACCGCCCTCACCACTGTCCCCACCACCGCCGTCCCGACCACTGTTCCACTGCTGTCCCCACCACCACCGTCCCCACCACTGTCCAACTGTCCCCGTTGTCCCCACCACTGTCCCACTGTCCCCACCGTCGCCACCACTGTCCCCACTGTCCCCGCCAGTGCCCTGACCACTGTCGCACTGACCCCGCTGTTCCCACCAGTGTCCCTACCACGGTCCCCACTGTCCCCGCCAGTGCCCTCACCACTGTCGCACTGCCCCCGCTGTTCCCACCAGTGTCCCCACCACGATCCCACTCTTCCCACAGTCCCCACTCCACTCTTCCCCCACAGTCCCCACTCCCCACCACCATCCCCACCACCGTCCCAACCACTGTCCCCACCAGTCTCCCATCCGGAATGGGAGAGGAGGGGGAGTCGTTGCGGCGAGGGGGGAGGGGGGGGAGGGGGGGGGGGTTCGAACCGGTAGCGACCCCCCCCCGTTTTCCAGGAGAGGGGGGGGGAGGGGTTCGAACCGATAGTGACCCTCCCTTTTTCATGATGGACCAGGGGAGGGGGGGGGGGAAGGGGGGGTTGGAACCCCCGGTGACCCACCCAAGTTTTCGAGAGGGGGGGATGATGTGGAAACCCCCAGTGAACCCCACACCACCGGTTTTCTGCCAGCAACGGTAGAACACGCTCTTTCCCACATGCATGTCCAGCTCTCGCGGCCGTAGCCAATTTGGTTGAAAGGCGCAGGAGCCTGCCCGCGTCCCGCTTCTCCCCTCCTGGCTGGTGCCGACGCCACCTATTGCCCGATCCCACCAGCACTTCAGGGCGTGAGTGGTTTAGACGGGAGGGGTTGTCCCCTTCGGGGAGGGGATGACCCCTTCAGGGATGGAGTCCACCTCTCAGAGAATTCTTCCCCTTCGGTGACGGATTATCCCTCCTCGAAGGAGTTCTTCCCCTTCGGGAAGGGGCTTACCCCTCCCCGAAGGTTCACCCCTTCGGGGAGGGGGTTTGTTTGCCCCCTGATTTAGAGTTCTTCCCCTTTAGTGAGGGGTTTGCCCCTCCCCCTGCCCCCTCCCTCCCCCTGAACCTGGACGGGGGGGACGGCGGCCCGCTAGAGCGTCCACGATGGCCGCGGCGAGAAGGCCAACATCACTGATTGTACCACGGTGTTGGCCACATGGTGATCTCCTGAGGGGGGAGGCCCCAATTGAGGAGCCCCCCTCCTTTGATCAATCTGCTCCAAGATGGCCCCCAAGATGACCCCCAAAGGCCCCAAGAGGTCCCCCAGGAGGCGTCCAAGAGACACCCAAGACGCCCCAAGAGGCCTCGGCGAGAAGGCCAACATTATTGATGCGACTAAGGTATTGGCCACATGTTGGCCTCCTGGGTGGGTGACCCTGATCGAGGGGCCCCCTCCTTGATCGATCTGCTCCAAGATGGCCCCCAAGATGAACCCAAGAGTCTCCCAAGAGACCCCAAGAAGGCCCCTAAGAGGCCCCACAGATGCCCCCAAGAGGCTTCCAAGAGGCATCCTAAGAGTCCCCAAGAGCTCCTACATATGCACCCAAGACGCCCCAAGAGGCCTCGGCGAGCAGGCCAACATCATTGATGTCACTCAGGTTTTGATCACAATTTGGCCTCTGGGGGAGCAACTCTTATTTACTACGGCCCCCACTTTGATCGATCTCCTCCAAGATGGCCCAATATTGCCCCCCGAGGCTACCAAGGGTGCCCCAAGAGGGCTCAACGGTGCCCAGGAGGCCCCAAGAGGCCTCCAAGATGCCACCCAAAAGGCTCTCACAAGACCCCCACGAGGCCCCGAAAGCCCCCGTGAAGCACCCAAGACGCCCCAAGAGGACCCCAGGACTGCCAATGGACCCACTAAGACGCCCAAGGAGGATTCCAAGAAGCTCTCGAAAGACATCCGAAGCGACTCCGAGAGGCATCCTAGAGGCCTCTGGCCTTTCTGCTCGCCCTCCTCCTCCTCCTCCTCATCATCCTCCTCCTCCTGCTCCTCCTCATCCTCCTCCTCATCCTCCCTCTCCTCGTCCTCCTCCTCCTCCTCCTCCTCCTCCTCCTCCTTCTCCTCCTCCTCCGAATTCCGCATCCGCGAAATCCTCAGTCTCCCTCCTCCCTGCTCACTTCTCCCTCCTTCCTCCTCCGCTTCCTCCGCCTCCTCCGCCGCCTCCTCCTCCTCCTCCTCCTCTGGTTCCTGCTCCATCCTCTTCATCTTGGGGCATGACGGCTTCCCACCCTTTATTCCACTGCGTTCTCTCCCACATGCCTGATCTAGGCAACCCGCCTGGGCATCGTTTCCGGATGGGCTGGTAAGCTTACTTTTTGTTACCGGCCGCAGGCGAGCGCGCCGACGGCGTGTCACGGTCCGAGCGGGCCGCGCGAGGTCCTAAGTTACCTAGCGCAAACAGCTACCGCCGCAACTCAGGCCGAAACTAGGAAGTGGCCGAGGGGGGGGGCAGAGGGCAGCTAGCTGCCTGGGGCTGGTAGGCTTTTTTTTTACAGCCGCAGGCGAAAGCGCCAGCGGCGGAAGGTCGCGAACGGGCCGCGGACGCGACTAAATTACCTAACGCGCGCAGGGCCGCGGATCAGGCGGCTCACGACAGCGTCCAGGGGGGCGAGGCCGAGCTGGTAGGCTTACGCGAAGCGTCTGGAATTCGCTCACCGTGATGGCCTCACGCTCGCTCGAACGCGACGGGCTCGCTCCGGCGACGCAAACCAAAAAGTATCCAGCTCTCGCCCTGGCCAGCCTCGTCATGGCTGTCCAGCTTCCTGGTACGGTCAGGAACGTCTGCCTGGCGTTTCGCGTCGGCGGCTCTGGCCCACCGCGCTTCGGCGCGACACGCTGACCGCGTCCGTTCCCGAGCGTTAGCGTCCAGGGCTTTGCCCAGCCCTCCGCCACACGGAGCGGAGCGACACACTATCAGCTTGCACGGCACAGCGTGTCGCAGAGGGGGCCGCACCCGCGACACGTTCAGTCGAAGCTCCTGACCGTACACAGCGGCGGCAGCACAGCAGCAGCAGTGGCAGGCACCGAAGCCAATATGAGCTCACTGTGGTCACCACCAGTGGTGTCTGCGGCCGAGCTAATCAAGAGAGCCGCGGGAGGCCCAGCGTGCAAAAGCCACTCGGGCGCCAGATCAGCCAAGCTGTGCAGAGGAAGGGAGCACATGAGGCATACACGATATGAGATCTTGCTTTAAGACATTGAAGGGCACGCGCATCCAATTTTCGTAAGGTTCACCAGGGCTCTGCAGGCTCATTCGGCGATGCGACATGTTCGTAGGACATCCATTGGCAAGCCAATTTCAAATTGGGTGCGCCTGCTGTACAGAAGAGGAGGAGCCAGCGTCACAGTTACACATTATGCACACTTCTCGATTCGGGCGAATCGTCATCCTTGCGCAGGGGCCATGCTGATCTTCTCTGTTATCTGTACCGCTCCAATTGTAATGGTTGACGCCCGAAAGGAACCCAATGTACAGGAGAGGATGCGGAAGAGGAGCTGGCGAATGAGAACGGGGGAAAAGAATGAGAACATTCCTGGCTGTTCAATGCTGCTGCCTCCTTGCCCTCGATAAACTCCGGGTGATCGCTCCCCAGAATGACCGCGTGTGCCTGAAAAACATACGGAGCGCACTCTGACAAGGACTGCGGAAAATGACAGGAGGAGGAGAAATAATTAAGCTGCTGAGGAGGCTCATGGTGAGGATTCGGCCAGCGAGCACCTTGGAGAAACATATCGTGTCGGCGGCTGGCAAGTTACGTCGATCTACAGCACCGCGAGCACCATAACATCGCTTATTTGAGAACAAGCTTGTCTCTTTCGTCTCCACGCTGGATTCATGCCCTCGTCTTCCCTGCCCTTCTTCTCTTCCCTTCCCCTTCCTCCCCATGCAACCATGCCCAATCAGACCGGGTTCAGGAGAGATGTAGTGGAGGTCGCCCGCGCACTGCGAAAGCCCATGCAGAAGAAGCAATCCTTCCAGGCTCCATCAGGTAAGCTCTTGCAGAAGACCCACGGGTGGGGGGAATCACTCGACCATAACAGTGCAGCTTTCGGTGGGTGCCTAGTTTTAGGTTGCCCATGGTTGAGCACGTCGTTGCTCAAGTGTTAGTCAAATCCGAAAAACAAAAAACGGCATAAACATGAATTTTCGACGGTCCGAGCGGATTTCTTGGATCTGCGCCGGACCCCCCCTCCCGTGCCAGCGACCAGAACCACATACCGGACACAGCCTCTTGGGCCTCTTGGGGTCTCCTGGGAGCGTCCTGGAGCCTCCTGAAGCCTCCTGGGGCCTCCAAGTGCTTCTGAGGCTTCCTGGGGCCTCCTGAGTCTCCTGGGCCTCTTGGGGCCTCCTGGGGCCTCCTGGGGCCTCCTGAGGCCTCCTGTGGCTTCCTGGGGCGTCCCGGGGCCTCCTAGGGCCTCCTGGGGTTTCCTGGGCAATCCTGGGGCTTCATAGGACATCCTAAGAGCTCCTTCCAAGAGGCCTCCAAGAGGCACCCAAAATACCCCCAAGAGGCCCCAAGAGCCTCCCCGACGCACCCAATACGGTCCAAGAGGCCTCCAGGACCGCCATGAGGCCCCCAAGACGTCCCGAGAGGCGTCCAAGAAGTTCCCAAGAGACATCAGAAGAAACTCCGAGAGGCATCCAAGAGGCCTCGGGCCATTTTGCTCGTTGGTTTCCCCCCCTTCTTCCGCCTCCTCCTCCTCCTCCTCCTCCTCTTGCTCCTCCTCCTCCAATTCCTCCTCCACCATCCCCCTTTTGGGGTAACTCTGTATGCTCCCTCACTTCCCTGGTCACCTCAATTCGCCTGGGCATCGTTTATGCATGGGCTGGCGGGGATACGCGTAGCGTCAAGAATTATGAAGGTCGCGCCGCGAAGTCAGGGGCATTTGGGGTAAGACGGTTTCCCCAACCTGTGTTACTTCGTATGCTCCCTCACTTCCCTGGTCACCTCAATTCGCCTGGGCATCGTTTATGCATGGGCTGGCGGGGATACGCGTAGCGTCAAGAATTATGAAGGTCGCGCCGCGAAGTCAGGGGCATAGCATACTCACACATCGTACACACGACATGTCAACAGTATGTGCGCCTGCACAAACATGAACACACACACACGCATACATTGCGGTTACACTATCTGATTATATGTATATATATGAGTATATATGTATGTGTATATATATATACATGTATATATGTACATGGATATATATATATATATATATATATAGAACATATACATATACATACATTAATATTTATGTATGCATTTAGATGTATACATATATTTACATAGGCTTCACCCACATCGATTCACAATCATGCATACGCCCATATACATACACATGTGTTTGTATGGCTTGAAACATAAACACACACACACTTTTATGTATACTTATATGTATATATGCGTTGGCACATGTTGAGCAATACGGAATGTGAATAAATAGTGTGTGTTATATCCATGTGTCTACATGTCAACGCATGCACCTCGATATGCAGATCGTATTCTTGTAAAACCTATTCACAATCATACATATACCCATATAGATATACACACAGTTGTATGGTTTGGTACATACACACTTTCAGATACTGCGATATATGATTTTGGGCATGTTGAGCATGCAAGCGCAAGTTCACACAAGCATAGCTACATACATTCATACGTGTACGCCTGGACTGCACATACACGCCTCGCCACGGGAACGGTCAGAACTCCAAGATCCATGGACGATATGTCACCGTGTCGACCTCTCTCACCACCCGGGAGGGCCATGCGCCCCGAGGAACAAACCCACGCACCGATTAAGTTTGAGACGACACGCGTGCTCTTGCCAGTCCTGACAGCGGGGGGGCCGCGGATGCTCCGGAAGGTACTCGAGCAAATTCGGGGGGGGAGCCGGCGACGCCCGCACGCGAAGCCGCCGGCGCCCCGCTTCCCCAATTTCCTGAAGGCCCCTGACAGATGGATCAGTACTGACATGCGTGGAGGGGAAGGAGCGAGGGCTATGCTTTTTCTTTGCAGCTTGCCCCACCGCTGCGAGAGTTGCGCTCACGTGCGCCTCTTCTTGGTTGAGAGGTCGAAAATTGCAGCGCGCCCCCCTGGGTGCGTTGCATCCCGGATGCACCGGAATACTTTTTCCTGGTGCTCTGTGGGACCGCGACGCGGCATTCGCCGCGTCGTCGCCCGAGGCCCACCGCCCTCAAAATGCGCCCGCGCGCTCTCCAAATGCGCAGACCAGCTGGCTTGCCCAAACAGCTGGGTCGAAACGACTACAAACGGCCGCATGTTCGCATGTTTCACTCGGACAGCCTAGGGAGGCGGCTTTGGCGGCGGTGCCATGCCGTTGCCCTTGGTGGACGGCGGGGAAGCGGGCGTGCCCGACATCGCGCGCCTGCGCGCGGCGTGAAGGAAGCGTCGGGATACGCGCGGCAGGCCGCGCGCGAGTCTTGAGCCAATCCTGTTCTGTCGTTGCTGCTCTGGGGCCCGGAGGGGCCAGGAAGGCCTCGTGCGCCATCGTGGTTCGGAAGCTCCGAGAGAGCACTGGAAGTGCCAAGGGGGAACCTGGAGGTCCCAAAAGGACCGCGCGGCGTCGGGAAACCCCCAAAAGCCCAGAACCTCGAAGTGCTTTAGCGCCCAGAAGTCACAAGGATCTGCCAGAACGGCCCAGGACAGCTGCGGGAAGCTTCAAGAGAGGGCCCCAAGGCGCCCCGAGACGGCCCTGGGCGAGGGGGCGGACGCGCCCATAAGCCACCCAAATAAGTGAACCAAGACCTGCTCGTTCAGAGTGCCGTCGGTTCACTTATTTTCGATGCCCAGAGGCCCCCGGAATCTGCCCAGAACAGCCCGCGACAGCGGCGGAGAAGCCCCGGAGAGGTCCCCGGGGCGCCCCGAGACGGCCCTGGGCGAGGGGGCGGATGCGCTCATGGGCCGCCCAAATAAGTGAACCAAGACCTGCTTGTTCAGAGGGCCGTCGGTTCACTTATTTTCAGTGACCCGAAGTCCCCGGGATCTGCCAGGACTGCCCAGGACAGCTGCGGGGAGCTTCAAGAGAGGGCCTCAGGGCGCCCCGAGACGGCCCTGGGCGAGGGGGCGGACGCGCCCATAAGCCACCCAAATAAGTGAACCCAGACTTGCTTGTTCAGAGGGCCGTCAGTTCACTTATTTTCGATGCCCAGAGGCCTCCGGAATCTGCCCAGAACAGCCCAGACAGCTGCGGAGAAACCCCAAGGAGGGCCCCGGGGCGCCGCGAGACGGCCCCGGGGGCGGGGGCGGATGCGCCCATGGGCCGCCCAAATAAGTGAACCAAGACCTGCTTGTTCAGAGAGCCGTCGGTTTACTTATTTTCAGTGCCCAGAGATCGCCAGGATCTGCCCAGAGAAGCCCAGGACAGCTACGGGGAAGCCCAAGAGAGGGCCCCGGCGCGCCCCGAGACGGCCCGGGGTGGGGGCGGGTGCGTCTATAAGCCACCCAAACAAGTGAACCAAGACCTGCGCGTTCAGAGGGCTGTCGGTTCTTATTTTCGATGCTCAGAAATCCCCGGGATCTGTCAGAACCGCCCAGGACAGCGACGGGGAAGCCCAAGAGAAAGCCCCGGGGCGCCCCGAGACGGCCCCAGGAGGGGGGCGGATGCGCCCATCAGCCACCAAAATAAGTGAACCAAGACTGGCGCGTTCAGAGGGCCGTCGGTTCACTTATTTTCGGTGCCCAGAGGTCCCCAGGATCTGCCGGAAACAGCCCAAGACAGCTGCGGATGGCCGCCCGGGTGCACGGCTTGCGACTGAAATTTTTGAAAGTTTTAAAACTTTTAAAATCCCTGGACCCTGGATTCCCAGATCTCCAGGATCCCCCGACGATCAGGAAACCAGGGATCCCCAAAGTTTCAAAACTTTTAAAAGTTGTAAAAGTTTCAAAAATTCTAAGGCGCCCTAAAACTTTTAAAACTTTCAAGAGATATAAAACTTTTGAGAATCTCTGGACCCTGGATTCCCAGATCTCCAGGATCCCCCGACGATCAGGAAACCAGGGATCCCCAAAGTTTCAAAACTTTTAAAAGTGTTAAGCGTTTTAAAAGTTTTAGGCGCCCTAAAACTTTTAAAAATTTTAAGAAGTTCAAAAAATGACAATCCCTGGACCCTGGATTCCCAGATCTCCAGGATCCCCAGACGAGCAGGAAACCAGGGATCCCCAAAGTTTCAAAACTTCAAAAAAACTTAAGAGTTTTAGGCGCCCTAAAACTTTTAAAACTTTTAAGAGTTTTAAAACTTTTGGAAATCCCTGGGCCCTGGATTGCAAGATCTCCAGGATCCCCCGACGATCAGGAAACCAGGGACCCCCAAAGTTTCAAAACTCTGAAAAGTTTTAAAAAATTTTAAAGTTGTAGGTGCCCTAAAACTTTTAAAACTGTAAAGAATTTTGAAACGTTTGAAACTTCCAGGGCCCTTTGTCCCCAGATTTCCATGATCCCCTGGCGATCAGGAAACCAGGAGGAGGATGAGGAGGAGGAGGAGGAGGAGGAGGACCTGGAGGAGGACGACGAGCGGGCGGGGTCGACCGTGCCCTCACCCCCTGTCTGGTATGTGGTTGTGGTCGCCCGTACCCCCCCCTCCCTGGTGCGCGGACAGCGCCAGGGGCGGCGCTGGAGGCGCCGCGAGGGAACCTCAACACAGATCCAAAATATCCGCGAGGACGGTCGAATATCCATGTTCATGCTGTTTCTTGTCTTCTTCCATAAACGGCATCGCGCCCAAGGGCAGCTCCAAGACTCGGCCCCGGGCCCCCCAAAAGAGGGCCCCTCATGGCGCAAGAGGCCGTGATCACGGGCGTCACCGCGAGAGTCCAGCCGCGGCGCTCCTGGGACTACGGTGAAGCCGCGATGTGCACGTTTTGGCGGCGCGCACGAGGTTCGAGGTTCGACGGTTCGAGCTTCGAGGTTCGAACTTCGAGGATGTGTTTCGCAGTTTTCGGCCTCCCAGGGACGCTTTCGGGCCCTTGGACCCTCGAAAATCGATCTGGGGATCTGGGGTGAAATGCAGCGTCGGATAGACCCTTGGGCGACCGTGTTGGGCCCACTTTTTGGCACCGCGCACACGGGTGTGGGGGGGGGGGGGGCTTCTTAGAAGGAGCGCGCTTCTGAGAAGGCGCTACAGACACGGCCCGCGCCTTCAAAAAAGCACGGGCTGCTTCCAAGAAGCCTAGAAGCGGGGGTACTTATACGAAGCCTCCGCGCCCGCGATTCGGAGTGCCCCTGGACAAAGGTGTACCCAGCTTGTCGCCCCAATTCGCACGCCCTGGGGCCGCCGGGGCCTCGTGGGGCGTGCTCTGGGGGCCCTGTGGGGTTCCCTGGGGATCCTGGGGGCACCTTTGGCCACAACACTTCAAGCAACACCCGAACGACGCGGACTTGTAGAGATCAGTGCAGTCCAGAACTTTTGCTTCGCGCCTCGCAGTGTCGGGAGCGGCCAAGAGGGGGGTGTCCAAGAGGGGGGGGTGCAAATCATGACCGGCGGCATGTGCGCGGACCAGCGGGGGGGCCAGGGACGTAATGAAATAAGAAGAGGCGCCAGAAGATCTGGGGAAATATCATGGCCCCCGCCATGATATCCACCCCCCCCTAGTCATCACCCCCCTCTTTTCCGCCCCCGACAGTGGCGGCCCTGGCCACACGCTCTGCCATGCGAGCGGACCACGTGCCGCTCCGCTCCGCGGAGCCGGGGGGGCCGGGAAGAACTCGGGGCGCCGACGCCCGGGGGCAGGGGAGTGGACCGCGCGTCGCGCCGAAGCGCGGTGGGCCAGAACCCGCGGCGCGACCGCACCCTCCTCTTCTCCTCCTCCTCCTCCTCCTCCTCCTCCTCCTCCTCCTCCTCCTCCTCCTCCTCTCCTCCATCCTCCATCCTCCGTCCTCCATCCTCCATCCTCCTCCTCCTCCTCCATCCTCCTCCTCCCCCTCCTCTTCCTCCGACCGCACCCTGCTGATCTGTGAGGGCTCGTGGCGCCCAAGCTGCCTACAAGGGCAGGGCAACAGTGCCTCGAGCCCCAGCCTTCCCTGGAGCAGGCAAACATTAGCGGTACGTGCCTCGTACTCCGAGCCTGGCGCATTGGGGCGCCGAAGCAAGCTGGAATCGAAGCGCAGCTTTACCGCCGTCCCAACATATAGCGACACCCCGTGGCACTATCATGCAATCCACCCGTTTTCTGGTCTATGCCGCTCTGTTTTAACATTTCTCGAGACGGGTCCGTCCAACGTGCCCGTCGTTTGGCATTGCCAGCCCATGCTCAGCGCAGGCCCACAGCATCGGAAGATGTGTAAGTCCGGCGGGATGCACTCGAAAGCCCACACCGCACACCTAAGAATGCCAGCGTAGTCTGGACCGTGGCCCGCGACATGAAAGCTCGATCTAAGCCGACGTGACTTCACTCGGCCACAAGGCCAGGCAGAGCGGCAACCCGCATCACGATCAGTATCTCGTCGGAGGAGTGTGGCCTCCGAGAGAGGCCCAATCGCACAACTCCGTCAAGGCCGCCGAGGGGGCGCAGGCCGTCGGGGCCGCCAAGACCACCGAGGTGGCACGGGCCCTGGCAGGCCACGACCAGAGCAGACAAGCATCGCAAGCTCACCCATGGTCGTCGGCGACTTCGGAGGCGACACGAAGTCGACGACGACCTGCAGCCCATCGCCCAATAGCACCACTGGGACTACGTCAAGACAACCAAAGCAATAACTCAAAAGAAGACATAATAGCATCCATCCACCTCCAATGCTTTGCTACGTACGTTTGACTGGGTTTCAACATCACCACTTCCCGCAAACATCCTTCTGCTTAGGTCCTGGTTTGTCCATGTCGTCGTCGTCGTCCTCGATGGCTCCCTTGTTGCCTCCACCCCTCCTCAGGGACATCAGCCATTTAATAATTGGACCATCCTGGCTGTGCACGTCCGCGATCTGCAGAGACTTCGACGCTGCATCTCGGTTGGGCGCGCACCATTCTATCACCGACGCCAGGGCCACCTTGAACTTCGCGGCGTCCGCGTTCACGCTGTCGGAGCGCATTGCGCCCCATGCCCATGGGCGGCCCTCCTTGGGAGGTCGGTGCGTCGACTTCATCCGAAAAAATAATGTCTTCACTTAAGCTACCACCAAGCCGGCTAACCATCATACTCTTGGCCGGCGCATCGGTTGGCACAGCTTTGTCCAGCTCGCCCATGAGGTGCGCGAAGATGAGGGGGCACTGGAAGCCAAGCGGGCGCGGAGCAATCGGTGGTGCCGCCTGCTGAGACGACTTGGCCGCCGCCTCGATGGCCTTGAAGTGCTCGCCATGGCGGGTCTGCTCTCCAGCTCGGCTCGCGTCTCGCAGCTGCTCCACTATTTGCCCTTCCCCGTCGCCTCGAACGAGAAATACAAACGAAGACTGATCTTCCGAAAGGTGTATGGATCTCTCGTGTTGCGCTAGCACATCCTCGATGGCTCTCCATCGGTTGTGGATCAAACCAATCTTGCCTTTGCCCCGCCCTTCCCCTTCTGGCCCTTTCTGCCCACCCCATCTCCCGCAGCATGACGTGCAGCGGCCAACCCCGCCCGCCATTGCCGCCGAACGCGATGTAGGCCACCAGGAAGACCAGGGGGCCAAAGGAGAGGGCTGAGCGCTGCATCTGGGAGCTACCCTGAGCCCTGCAGCTAAGCGGCGGTCGCGGCACTGCGTCCTGTGCCCGCGCGTGGCACGCCCTGTATCGAACGTCAACTGGCAATTGGGATATGCAACGCTCCCATCGTGCAATAACTGCTGCAGGTGCTGCGGCCGATCGTTTACGCATCACCTGTTTAACGTACCCCCCGTAGAACATACCCTTGCAGTTGTATATGCGAGCTCAGAATGAAGACATGTCCGACCACCACGGGCGCCTAGAGGTACCTGCTGTCTTGGCGGCCGAGCTCTGAGTGCATCTCCTAGATTCACTCGTGGGCGTCCG